CCCCAAAACCCCAAAACCCCAAAACCCCAAATTATTTAAAAATTAATATAAACTATGAACAAAATGTATTTCCTTCAGCAGTAATATTCCCTAACTAATATAAAGATTTGAGAGAGTTCAAATTGCACAATCTTCACTGAAAGGTAAGCATTTTAGAGAAATCAATAGATCTGAGACCTCAGTCCCAACAGGAACTTCAGAGAGACATTAAGTTTCATAAGAAAAGAAGAAGAGCATCATGACAATGAAGTAGCTGTTGCAAACCAATTCAACTGGAATACGAGCTTCTTGATAGTAGTTATCATGGGAATAGCAATGAAATCAGCCAAGTTGGTAACATATTTCCATTATTCTTAGACAAAATCAAGGATGAATTAGTCAGTAGTCATGGTACTCTCATAAAATAACTTCTGTAGAAGAAAGCAGTCTCTTAAATATCCTCAAGCCTGATACTTCTCCTGAAATCTCACCCATTCCACAGCCTATAAAGAAGTAACTCATATTCCAATATCCCTTTAGAAGCGTCAAAACCAAAGAAAGCAAACAGAAATTCAACATCAACAGGAAATTTCATGATTCTAAGCCGAAACAGAAAAGCTGTTCTAACATCAACACAAATCCATTTTCGAACCCTGTAATAAAATAATGAGATGTTACACCAGATCAGGAAGGAAATTCAACAAGAAGAAGAGAAGAAGCAGGCTGAGAAACAAGCTGAGAAGGTAAACCCCACCTTAGATTTATAGGCAAAATCTAGGAATAAAACAAAGATTAAGACTCATAAGACAAAGCCACAGTTTGATATCAACTTTGACGGCCTGAATGAACTTGACCTCATGGATATGGAGTTCTTAGACCAGGTGGTGGCGACTCAGGAATATGAACACTCAAGTACCTCCTCTGGAGAAGACGAGGACCAAGATCTTCAAACTATTATGGAGGTTAAAGGTAATATTAGTCTAATAGATATAGAAGATAAGAAGAATAAGCCTAAATTAAAAACTCGAATTTTACCTCAAGCACCTCCTGTCTTAACAGTATTTCATTACCTTAATCTCTAGCAAATGTTAAACGATGTTAAGAAGAGAACCTTAAGACTGGACAAAATTCTTGAACAAAAACCATCACCTGAGAGAATTAAGAAAATTAAGAAACTGTTAAAAAGAAATAGACGAAGAATGAGAAAAGTACGATTTAACAATTTATCCATAGCTCAGAAATAAGAGAAATAAATCTAAAAAGAATAATAAAGATCATGAAGAACCATTCTTGCCACAAGTGGGGGTGAATACTAAGAAGTCTAAATCCAAGCATAAAGGGAAATCAAAGCAATCGAAAACCCACCGCAGTAAAGGAAAAGATTTTGAATCTTTCAAATTTGCATCTGCTTACGGACAATTTATGGCAAACCAGAATACAAAGACAAAGTTCAGATCTACTTATTATTCAAATACTAGGACTGATTACACAACTCCTTCTTTCCCTATGTGTACTGCTAGAGGAGTCGTGCCATCTCCTATAGGACTAGAGTTAAATAGTGAAGCATTTAAGACAAAAAGCTCTCTAAATTTCATGAGCCCAGGAAAGGATGCACCTCTATCAACTAGAAATGACGTACATTACAGCAAAGAGAAGATCGAGAGCATGGAAAGAAGTCAGAAATGCTTCAAACATGTAAAGAGTAATAAAAAGCTTCAACTGTACCTTCCTGGGTTGAACAACAGAAATGGTAGCCCAAGGAAATTCTCAAAGCTAAACCTGAACTCTTTGAAAGACTATCTTCCTCATTTGAAGTAAATATTGAGTGATTTCAGTTATAATTTATCAACCAGGGGTTTTGGGGTTTTGGGGTTTTGGGGTTTTGGGG